TATTATAGTAACAGACTGTTGACATAATTTTTGTAATAAACGTAAATAAACTCGATATCTTTGCTACTACTAATAAATCTTAGTAAATTTGTAAAACGGTTTCTTTCAGCTTGTTGTAATAAAGCCAATACACAAAAACTAGACGAACCATTAATCTAATTAAGCTTGTAGCGATTCCTCTACAGTTCCATTATCGTTTTTGTTCTTGACATTTCTCAATTGCTTTTTTATTTCATTCTTTATTGCTCCGTCCTTGAAAAAGCTTTATTGAGAATAAAATTGAGTTAAATTTTCATTAAAATTTAATTTCATGCAAACATTTCAGCACAAACATTCAGGTCTGATTATAATTCGCTGTTTTATAAAAAAATATTGATCATTAACTGCACTCTTCAACTTGAAGTTTAATTTATCCAATTAACTTGTTTTTGTTTTTATTATATTTAATTAATATTGCAAATATCTATGTATCTATAAAAATCTGAATTAATTGGATCCTATACTATTTTTGATAAAGATATTAAGTCAATATGTGTCTGATAGTATTAAACCAGTGTTTAACAATGTAGGCGAGCCTTTGTAGACTTATTTATGAGTTCTGCAGTCGTTTACGGCTTATTCTGCGGTATTAGACGTTATCGCATGCAATATACGGCTGGGTTATTGTATTTGAAGTCATTGTTATTCGGCGAAGCTGCGGTTGCATCTCTGACTTCATTTAACTATTACTATGTATCCTGTATATTAGAACGCATTCGTAACTTAGACGACTATAACGCTTTGAATTTATTTATAATAAAAAATACAGTAATTTAACAAAATTTCTGACTAGGAAATGGCCAGAAAGCAATATATATCCTTTGGTTTCTACAGCAAGTACCAAACGTCACCCAGCTCAGCGGTATCAGACTTTCATCTCCATGTTAAAGTTGTGTCTATCTAATTATAGCGCCTACTATGGTAAACTTACTCGGAAACAACTTTAAGAGAAACTCCATTAACGACCATCTATCCACAATCAAAGTTCTCATTGACCATTACTTTAGTTTTATTCAAACTTATCTGGAGACCGATTCACTGAGACGAACTAGTTCTAGCTAACTAGTTTACTTCCAAACAATAATCAAGGTTTTGCAACCCTTATTAAAAAAGAAGATAGTGACACTCCTTTTTTCTCAATTTGGGATTCTCCACATAAAAAGAATAGAATTAAAACAGACCTAGAGCTCCTTTACAACAGGAATTTCTTCCACTTTCAGAAACTTAAACACGATACAGTTTTCACTTCTAGACTTTCGTTTTAAGCTTCTGTTATGCCAATTTGATTAGGTTGCCACAGAGCATATCTTTTGAGGGGTGGGATGTAATAGTCGTTAAGGTCACCGATAAAAGAGTAGGTCTTTTGTGTGTCATATAACTAGGCGAAAAAATTCCGAAATACTGTGAGAAACGGTGGCTTACGGGCAATAATTACTCTGACTTATTTTGCCAGACATGACAAATGCCTGGACGAACACTTTTGATCTCTAGCTTTCCTAGATAGTTTATTTTTTAATTTCAAAAATGGTAATGACTTGAGATCACGTCGTCCTGGCCATTTCTGTAGAGCATAGCTATAAGCAAAGTTTTAGACAGCAATAAGTGACGTAATTTTTTGAATGTAAGTTTCTGTCTCTAAACGACATTAAATAACTAGCTTTTTCAGTGATTTGACATACCCTTTTCTACGAACATCAAATAAATCTTATATGCCACAATACGCACTCTAGTTCTTCTTCCAACTTCAAAAAATGATTGTCAAACTCCTTTTATACCTAACTAGCGTCATTTATTACTTGTAAGGTTGTCTGTGTATTGTAGACCTAGGGTTTTTTTGCATCCCTTGCCGTAATAAATGGGTCCGCTATAGGATAGTTTTGTCCATAGTCAACGTTGGTTATGCAGGTAAACCAAAACCGTAAATTATAGCGTCAGTGACTACGATTAATGTTGTTACATTTTATTATTCCACTTTTACTGGCAATCATTGTTCATCAGAGCCTCGTTTAGTAATCAATAGAAATTACTGTGTAGATAGGTGTGATTTGGGGAAAATAGATAGTATTCATTAATGAATAAATAGTTTTTATGTAAGAAAGATTTCTTATACATATATTCACTCAACCTCATTGACAGTAAAATAGCTATTAATGATCATTAAGATAAAAGTTTTGGTTTCTTTAATCAAGCAAAGAGATGATGCTATCAAGTTAATAAAATGAAGTAAAATCTTCTGTAAATTATATGTTTATAATAATAATTACTACAATATGTTTAAAACTATTTTAATTATAATCAGATTAAAAAGTTTTTATAAGAAGTATTTTAATTTCATGTTCAACGTCTCTAGGGAAAATGGAACTGAGATAAAATTTAAAAAGTTTTAAAATATTTTGTGTTAAAAAAACTACGAATTCTAAATAAACTCGTTAGTGGTATCATATTACCATCCCATTATATTCTAAACCCAACCCTGTGTGATGATGCGATAAGGTTGTCATGGGGAATTCAGGGTTTTAGCTAAATTAAATATATTACTAATTATTATAAAGCAGAATAGTGAATAACAGACAAAGGAAATTAGTAAGACAGGAAATTGTAGTTTTAAAGTTTTGACATATCTTTGATGTTGAGACTAAAGTGATCAAATAATGTATGTAGTATTAATTATTCTATGATTGTAATATACAAGTTAAAATTATGGTACATTATAATTCTTTTCGCTTCTTATTTTGAGATTGTTAGTGAAAACTCAGTTTTGTTATTATTATAGAATAACAACCGTTTCTACTGTAACAAAGCGAAACATATGTAGGTTATTAAACTTTATTTATTTTCCTTTCACAAGTTATATTGGGTTCGGTTCGCTTCAGGCCAAAGGTTTCAGGGAAAAGTGCGGAACTTATAGATATTTTAATAGAAATTATTTAACCAAAACTTGTTACTCTAAAATAATATGACGTTATATACGTTAGAATAGCAATAACATTACATCAGTACTTCTTTTGTTGTATCAGGAATCTTCTGGTTCGAATGGCAAAGTGATCTGTAGACACCCACATTTTTTATCTAATGTTGTGGTTGGTTTGTAATAATTTTTATATAAGATAATGTAGGCAAATGTTGTACCATATACTGGGCACGGTCTTAAAAATTACGGAATAATTATGTTATAAAATCTGATTAAAGATGTCAAAATATTTTCATCGTTTTTTTGCTTGAAGTGAATATATTTTTAGTTACATTTTTTTTTATTTACAAATGTAATGAAAATCAATACTTCAGTGACGTATAAAATCATGTCTTTAAAATAAAAAATACAAAACAGCTTCTTCAACCACACCTTTGCTTGGTTAAATTAAATAATGAGCATTTTGAGGTCATTCAGTATTAATTTTCATACATGACAGTATCATCGTGGGTAATGACTGAAGTCAAAACCACTGATTTAATTTAAGGATACAAAATTGTAGTTCGGGTACAATTACATGTGCTAAGTATATGTCATTGGAAATACAATACACTAGTCCTAAGTGTATAATTTACTATAAATTCAATTCCTGTATTGTAATCTGAAGTAGACAATTTATTGTACTCGTAACACTGAAATTAATCAAATCAACTCTATGCCATCTCATGATTATTCAACTGAATATCTGATGTGATCTTGTTGTGTCAAATATGTTAACAAGAGATAAACGTATTGATATTTTAAATAATATTTTTATAAATAAATACTTCTTTTTGTCGATACTACTTTCTGCCTGGAGGTTTACGTGGCTTATAACAATTAATATAATGATATTATCCATACTACAAATTTGTAAGCTTCTATAACTTTGAATATAGATAAGAAATAGAATCGTCCAAAAAATAATACATACGTACTATGCTAATATTTTTCTATTAATAAAAATAAATTGCAATAGTAGTCACGATATTATCATAGAGTAATTAAATTCATAATGACACAACCTCTTATACTCACTTGGCGTGGATCCAAAGCTGCTCTCTTTATAATCGTCTGTCAAATATATTAACTTCGTCGTCAGAATGTCTGGACTTCTTGAAACTAAATTAAAAATTATGATAATTCCGAAGCATAGCAATAAATATTGATGCTATATTCAGAACATTTATAAGAATGTAAACTAAAATTAAAATACTACATATATATATATATATATATATATATATATATATATATATATATATATATATATATATATATATACATATATATGTATAATGTAATAGTTACCAGTATCAACACTAGGATTTCAAATGATAGTAATATTATGTTGATTATCATAATAATAACTCAAATTTACCAAATAGGACATAAATTTAATTATTGCAGCACTTTATAGATGTGTAACAAAACACATGATTTGGAATCCATCAGTGAAAGATAATTATTAAAATAAAATAATATAAACTGCAGTGAAAGATATTCACTCATAATTACTTTTAAAAGTTTATATATTTGTATGAATTCTGTTCTACTTAATATTTTTTTATAAAGACAAATTGCACTTAGTAAATCCTAGGAAAATCAAAACATGGTAAGTGACTCCTCTAAACCTGCTAATAGCAATTTCTATTTGAAAACAAACTGCTAGATGTAGGTGAAATAAAGTAAAATAATAGTATTCTACCTTACTAATGGATTCTTTGAAATCCTCTATAAAACGTGTCTCTAATACATGTATGTTCTTCATATGAATGCGTAATTAATTTACCTTCTCTAAATGATTGGAACTTATTATTAGTTTCTTCTTTTGTAAATTATTCGTAACATCAACACCATTTTTTAAAGTTTCTTGTATATATTGTACCACTTTCAATTTAAATTTAGTCTTTTATAAAGATACTGTAAAAGATTAAAAGATTATTATACTTTAAATAAGAAGTTGATGTTATCTGAAGGTCTTTTTTATTATCATTTCATTTATTTGTTTTCACCGACAGTAACTTGCGCTAGCATTAGTGACGCCTGCGCAACGAGCTCTGAAAGAAAAAAAATATATTATTAATTTTGAAAAAGTATTGCTATTATAAAAAAGTAGGTCTTTTATAGTAAAATGGAGGATCTGAAACAGAAGTTTATAAAAACAAATATTTATAAGATTTTATGATAAATTTTGATAAGACTTGTAGTTTAGAAGAAAATATTATACATATTTTATAGTGTATTAATTTAAAAAATATTTATTTAAATAACGAATGAAATGTTATAACTCCAATAATTTTTTCGTGTCATTATACCGAAATTAACATATGTATGTAATATGTATTAAATACCTGCACTCATTCCCATATTGCACTCCATCAACAGAGCACACAGGCTTATATATTTCTGGACAGATGCATGGCCTGGCTCCCATCACAGCCGTGAACAGGAAACTAATAACTGAAACAGAAAATAACAAGCATTACATCTCTTATGAATAATTCAATTATTCATTTATTCAAATATAAAACGATAACAAAATGTTTACGCCAAAGCAACCTCATTACGTACGTTAGTTTTGAAATAAAAGGAAAATTCTATAACTCGTTTCTTTTATACCGACTATTGATAATAAAATAAACAAGTGTATTTAAATGATTAAATAAAAATGGAATTAAATTAAGCATTATTCTATATTCGTGCTAAAATATGTTATATTATATTTTGGTAAAAACATTCTCTAGGCTAAATCATAATTAACTTCATTATTGGTAATAATAAATGATTTTAAGATTTTGTTTATATTATTATATAATCAGTTATAGAAAATACCCGAGACCATTTCATCAATGTGAGATTACTCAATGATACTAATTAATATAAATCAAGTTATTATTACTTTTTTATTTGTTAAATTTAAGAGCTAAATTATTTTAAATGAAAGTTAGTTACATAATATTCAAGGGGAACTTCATAAAGATTGTTAATAAAAAAGTAAATGAGGAAGATTTTATATTATGCTGGTTAGTGAAAAGAATAAAGATGAAGTGTTGAAATACAATTTAACCTCGCTTGAGGGTATAAGAGTCTCAGAGCTCGGACGCTTGAATTGTGATATCAAAGACTCTTGAGAGTTCGTCAGAAAAGATATACATTATAATATTAAGCACTTGTGAAAATAAATTTATTAAAATACATAAGCGTTATGTTTTATAACTCTATATGTCTTATAAATTATGATATTGGACTAAACGCCATGTTTGAGAAACAGAAAGTATATTTATATTGCTGACGTTATATAACAATACAAAACAAATTATAAGCAGAAATCATTTAACTAAATTTAATTATTATGAATAAAACTAATTCAACTAACTATATAGTATATAATATTTTTTTCTTAGAAACACACGCAAAACTATAAAATTATATAGTTTTATTAAAATCTCATACAAATTTGTTAATTTAAGGATCCCTACCTCAAGTATATTTGAGATATGTGCTTCCCATATTCAGTGACCCAAATACTTAAAACGGTCAACCTTTGTTAGTGGTGTACCACATAGTGTAATGTGTGGTACATCATTGTAAATATACGTCTGGATTCACACATGTCAATATAAGTATCACCAGAACTTGGCCTGCCACGAAGTAGCCAGGTGTGAAAATAAAAAATTAAAGAAGTTAAGAAATTCTGCCAATATAAATATCATTTATTTGAAGTATTGAAATCGATTGTTCTAATAATTTATTTTTTACTTTTCTTGGGGACCTAAAGAAAACTTTTCAAGAGGAGTTTATAGGTATTTACTCTTCGGTTTTTCATATATATTTTTTAGTTTATTGACTTCTCATTATACACAAATATATGTTAAAATCTGGTTTGTAAAAATGTTAGAGGTAAAATATTAAATTTAAATTAACCTTGTTTTACGGCATAAGATTCTCAGAGTTGCAATACTTCAGTCGCGATGTCAAAGACTGTTCAGAGTTCTTCAAACAGAATATACATTTTAATATTAAGCAGTAATGATATAACTTCCATAATTTCAAAACTACTGAACTAATGAACCTTATATAAAACAATATTTGTGTTATTTTAATATTAAATTTCTCACTTTTTATTTTTATAATAGTGTCGTTAGTATCTAAGCATTATAATAGCATTTGATTAAATATTAATAAAAAAATATATCCTTATAATAGAGAAAGTAAAATACTTATTTTACATCACTATTCAAATACCGTCTTTGATATTTTCTCAAAGGCACTATTTCTTGATCTATAAGTCACTATAATAGTTAGTGATTGGAATACAAAAGTTGGGCTCACGTATTAAAAGATCACAGGACTCTAGATGCCAGTTTCTTTAGGCGTGAGGAATGAGTTTATCGACATCTGCATAAACAAGAAATTTAGCTGTAAACTAAATTTGGATGAATAAATACTTAACAATAAAAAAATAATTCAGTACGTAATATAATAATGATGGTACTTGTAGATATAATAAAATGATTTCAGTTAAGTTAGAAAAACCATTTTCAAAAAGATTAATTTATTATTTATATGAAATTAGGGAATTCTGAAGAAAATGGATAACATTATTGCATTTTGTAGTCCTTTAGAATGCTGCATAGGCAAGTATTCCTTCACACTCTTTACAACTTCACACACTTTATATACGTATGAATTATCTATGATAGGTCTTGAACCAGTTTATAGGCCATTTACTTCAAGAACGTTTGACTATACATTTAGTTTCTGTAGATAACCTCGGTATCACAAAATGCCTTCTTGCCATAATGAATTTTCAAAAGTAAATGTTAACAAAAAGCATCTAATTCCTTATTTCAATTTACATATTGCGTTCACTGTCGCTGACTCTATGGAGTTACGGATTGAAATTAGTCCAACCTAATATTATGGAAAGATTATATTATCATATATAAAATGTACAGTCATGCAGGATGTAGTTAAGGGTTTTGTGATAGACCATAGGTTATGACTCATATTTCCATATACAGTTAGGTAAGTAATAGTCGATTTGATTTGACGAGAGTCTAAAAGTTAAAAATTATTATATTCGCGTTGTATTTTATTGTAAAGACAACGTATTAAGGATAATGGTCAAGTATATAAGTCAGTGGTAGCCTAGTGGTTAAAAGGCCCGCCTCTCATGCTCGATGGCGCGGGTTCGTTCCTGGCCCGGGCAAGTACCAATGTGATTTTTCCGAATCATATGTACTTTCTAAGAGTATTTAGACATCACTGATTAATGCATTCCCGAAAGAGGGTTGATGTCAGGCAGATGGCTGGTCGTCAAAACAATTAGCCAAAACTATTCACACATCTAAGACAGACCCTTGCTAAAGCTGGGAAATTGCTAGGTAGAAGAAGATTAAGGATAGTGGTCGTATTTATACAGTTTAATTGAAAATTGTAATGTAAATAAATATCGTGTTATTTTTTAAAAATACAAATAAAATTATCTAAAGTGTTTTAAACACATGACTGCTACGTTCATTCTTTTACCTTAATGTACTTATAATAAAAAAATTGTCGTCAAAGAATATTTACCATACATATAAATGTACAGATACATTTTTTCATAACACAGAAAAACTACTATTAAAATAAATAAATAAAAATATATTCATTAAGATCATATGTACCTGCTTTATTTATAGTCCCATAAAAAATTAATAACATTGCATACGTTTACTTTTGACTAACCAATTTTCTTGTGTTATAGCTTCATTCTTTGATTAATTTAATAATTAGGTACAATAAACAAACACATTGTTAGGTAGTATTTGATAGTGCTGTCACCTGACCAGTTGTTAATGTAATTAGTACTAACAACATAGAGAGTTAATTGCTCCTCTTTGAAGGTATTTAAAATAAGACTTGATTATTTCATGTTCCTAGATTTTCATACCCCATGTATTAAATGAACTAAAAATTATGTTTAATTGCTAATTAATATATAATCGTTATTAATTTCAAATGATAACAATTTTATTTTTGATGAATATTTAAAAGATCGGCATAAGAATGGTTTTTAGTCAGCCTACAGCTAAATTGGTCAATAGTTTGACAAGAGTTTGATCTAAAGTAAAATAAAATATATGTAACATTGCTTTACTTCATAGAAAATTCCCTTTGAGAGTTAATTGATGCAAGTTTTAGTACCACTGGAGTTGGCTATATCAATGACAATTCTCATGATTATTTAACAGATTACACAATGTAGTCTAGCTACTGTTGTCTCGTTAGGAAAGACAACAGGGGATTTAACAGAATGCATAATTAGAAATAAAATTATCGACTAACATTTACATAAAGACTTTATTGAAATAACCTAAAGTAAGTAACGACTGATAAAGAAAGTATAATGTATAGGTAACATTCTCAAAAGTCATCAATATTAAACAAATTTATTTTAATATAACTTAACAAAAATATTAATAGATGACGTCACCACCATCTTAGGTTGTATTTTATTCAAATTTTAATATATTTTGGTTCTTCTTCTTACCTGGCAATTTCCCAGCTATAGCCAGGGTCTGCCTTACATGTTGTGAATAGTTTTGGCTATTTGTTTTTACGACCGGCCGCCTACCTGACAGCAACCCTCTTTTGGGAATCAACATTAATCAGTGATATCCAAATACTTTTAGAAAGTACATATGATTCGAAAAAATCACATCGGTACTTGTCCGGGCCAGGATCGAACCCGAGCCCTCGTGCAATAAAAGCGGGCCTTTTAACCACTAGGCCACCACTGACTATTAATTTATTTTGGTTGTACTTTTCTTATGACATATTGTGATTTATGGGTAAATAGAAATTACAAATTCTTTTTTTTTCGTTTCTAATGATAGTTATCCTCAACCAACTTCAGAAAAGTTCCTTTACAAAAATATATTAACAATTATTCACTTGAAATTTAAATAGAATAATTTATATACTACATTACACGAGCAGGATTCAAACCTGTAACTTTTTTTTTATGGAAAAAGGGGCAACCGAGCAGACGGCCTACTTGATGGTTGGTAGTTACCGTCGCCCATTGACATCTGCAACGTAGATGTGTTGCCGCCCTTGTTTGGGGAAAAGGTGGGAAAAGGAGGGAAAGGAAAGGTTGGGAAAAGAGAAAGGGCAGTAACTTATGTATTATTACGTTCCCGTTGTATGAGCCTACAGCTTCGTTGTAAAAGTAACGCGAGTACTAATTTAAGTGTATTTAAATATGTATAGTTGGGTATATGATAGGTCTACTATTGCAGATCGGTAAAAATTTTGATCATATTTTTATTTCATGTTAATTCAATTATTATGCTAAGATAGCTGTTATATGAAATATATAATTAAAATAACTAATAATTTTTAATATGATACATATACATAGTTACTTGAATTCGTAGATCTTACAGCCACAATATAATTCAATTATGTCCTCCAGAGTTTCAATAAAACGAAACAAATCAAAATGTTAACCAAAGCAAACTGGTGAGTTACTTTTAAAAAATACCATAATATTAAATTTAAAAACATAACATCTGCTATTGGTACCTGAACCTCAGTTTAGGAGTAATATTTTTGATTTTCTTCTTTTAGATAGCAGTCAAATTCAAAATAAAAAATATTCAGTGTTTTAGTGTTTATATGTATGGTATGTTGAGAAATATCCTATATTTGTCCGTGTCTCAGACATTACTTCTGAATTGAGATAAGGGAAAACTCAAATTGTGTTTAGTAACTAGCTGGTAGCATAATTTAAATTTGATTTTGTATGAAGTTTCCCTTTTTTTATCCCTTTGAAACCATCAAATTTGGGAAGAATATATATAAATATATATACTTTCCTTTTATTAGGACGTGTAAGTTATATCCCTAGAAAGAAGAATTAAAATCCGTTAATTTTTTTTTATACTTGAAACAATAGGAATTGTTTTCTTTCTTATATATTTAATAAACGTAATATTTTTCAAAAACACTATTAATTTATAACATTTATGGCGCATACTATAGCGGCGTAACGTTGAAGGAACAATTTATATTCTCTTAATTGTATACGTATATGTTATATTTTTCTTCTTCGATATTATAAATATTAAACAAGTTAATTAAAATTTTGAATGCTCTAGCTTAGAAACACATACAGCTTACTTTTATGTACTACATGTATATAATGAAAATGAAAGTATGATACAATTTAAGTAATATATGTTCTAAATTTACAACTGCTCGAAAATTACGGTGGTATTTAAAAATAATATCATAAAAATGACTCTGGAATAAATTAGAATTTTGCCTTAAAACTATATTATCTCTCATACTAGTAGTGTACAAGAAATTGCTAATTAGAGACGCAATGTTTCACAATCATTCAGTCTAAAATTTCTAGAGATGGAGCAAGTTGTTTAACATTCGGGAAGTGCTTTTAGAGTTTACAAACTTATAAACTATTTTCAAAAAAATATGCTTCACCTTCAAACTTTGACTCTTTCAAAATTAGAAAAAGAATTGATAAGAAATTAAAATTTTGTCACAATTAGAACTCCTATAAATAAGTGAAGAAGAAAGATTATATTGTCATTTTGAAGGAAAAAATCATTCACAAATAATGATGCTTGTCATTTTCTTTGACAGAAGAAATTTCAGTTTAACATCACATCATGTTATAAGAGGTCTCTCAGACTTTAACACGCTAACTCAAAGAGCGTCAAGCCTACTTGTAACGTCACTTTGAATGTTACTCCCGTCATTACATCTTTGATCACAACATGCTTAAGCTAAATCCTTAGGCTTTCAACTAAGAAGAGAAATTGATACAATATCTTAGTGATTTTAAATTAATATTTATAAATTATATGTTTAATTTTAAATTTTCCAACATCTACATCAAAAGACTTCTATTTGTTTTACTTTCACGAAACTAAAGAACCAATAAGAAAATAGTTTTTATACGTTCAGTGTTGTAAATAATGAGAGTAATTACGTTAAAGAATTCATTAGATGATAGAAATAACTGAATTCCCAGGAAACCTGCTAAGATCTAAATAAAATTATCATTCAGGTTTGAATTTATATAACCTTTATATAATCTTGAGAGAAATAATCCAACTTATCTTTGCCACGGTTGTATTAACTTTGTATTCTTTTGTAAACTGAAAATTCATCTTCATGAATGCCTCTACTAAAATTTGTAACAGTTTCAATAATTAGTAATATAAATTTTTCTACCGCGATATATACTCACGTGGAACATATTTTTATATTCAAGACTGATATCGTCCCCGGAGATGGCACTCGAATCCGAAATGAAAAATTTAATTTACATATCCCCAGCTGAAGATATATTGGAACATTTAAAATTCAATTATCTTCAACGTTCGAATTCGTTTTATGTTAAAACTTTAATTATTGAAAAGATTGTTCAGTTTTTTATCTTTCATTAAATGTAGTGATTTTGCAAACTGTAATTATATGAACATTTAAGTATGTTACTTTGTAAAATGATTAAGGACTTTAATTAGTGGCACTAAACAAACTAACTTGGTTGAATCTTGCAAGTTAGTAATAACACAAACACGTCATGTTATTAATAGCATTTATCAAACCCACAACAATAATTAAAGTTGTTAATAGGCCAAGTAAATTTAATGTCCCCATTAAATAGTAATAACAGGTTGTTCTCTATATAATTAACAACAAAACAAGTAGTATCTAGTAGTCATTTGATAATTTAACAACAAAAAACAACAAATTTTTGTAGAACTAATATATAATTACGATTGTTTTTAAACACATTGTGTTAATAAATTAGTATTTAATCCTGAGTGTATCCTATTAATTTAACCCGGCGTCATTGTGGCTAATAAACAGAACTTGGCCGTTGTGGCCGGGTAAATTTTACCCATGTACATTATTGTACACTGAATCAAGCATATGTCAATATTAGTTTTCTATAATAGGGAAATAGGTGGTTAAATACATTATTAATAAAAATCAAACATTTATTTATCATAAAATGAGCATATTACTCATCAAATTAAATCTTTTTATTCTGGGATAATTTTTTTAGAACATAACTTAAAACGTTTATTCGAAAACATAACATAATAGACATTTAGAGACAAAACATAAAATTTTCTTTAGAACATAAACATGAAATTATGAACTATATAAAACAAAGCTTATTTACTAATAATATACCGACTTATTCGCTATAGAGATCAACGCAACTTTGGCATAATGGGATAATGTGTTGTATACAAATAGGCTTATTACACTTATTGCAGTTATGCCTAGTTCTTTTGTTTTTGGCAGAAGGACAGTCTTTGCATCTCGTATATGTTTTAGAACTTTTATTAAGAGGGTAGGTCATCATTTCACCGACTTGTTCGTGAATACGTTTACGTAAGCCTCTCGGTAAGTTCTCCATATTTTTTCTCACGCGAAGATGACCTTCAAGCATTGATAGACCGAGTTTTCTAAGGAAATCACGCCGGTTTGTTCCAGCATATTATTATTTATAAAGCGTTTCCAACACTCTATTTCAGTCTTATCATTTTGCGCAATAGGCTTTACCCCAGGTTTTTGTAAAATTATGTTTTCTGACCTTGTGCGGTTCTGACGTTGGTTCGAGGTGGTTGCGAAGACCATTTGGTGGAATTGTCTTTACCAATATAAAACTACTGGTTACTTGTTGAAACAATTACTTCTTGCTCATCATCGCTGCATTCCTGTTCCGTATCACTGCCTTGACTTCGCTCTGAAATATGGTCGATTTCACCCTGGTCGTCTGAACTGCACTGTTCATTTCCACTGGCGTCAGCTTGTTCAAACAAGGCTAAGAGTCGACGTTGTTCGCTTTCGTAAGACATGGTTCATAAAACTGTGTAAAACGATATGCAATTTATCAATAAACAATAAAAAACAACAATCACGCTGTCTTTATAAATATTACGAGGCCATTGTGGCCGGGTATAACTTACCCGCGCGCTCTTTACACACCTTTACACTACGAGGTAGCCGCAGCAACACTAAATAGAGAAGAGAATACGCAAATAGAGGTCAACGACCGCAGCTACTGTAACGGACAAAAGATTCGCGCATTTTGTTTTAAAATTATGACAGTTTTAAAATGCGTCGGGTATTAGATACCCGGCAACAATGACGCCGGGTTAAGATCATATGAATTAAAAGTAATTCAATTTTATTTAAAGAGATAATATAAATTTTATAACAAAACAAATTATAAATATATCACGAAAACGAACGATCCAATTAGGGATCAGGATTGTGTTATTATCAAAGAAATAAGAAAAAATAACAGCAAAAATCCTAACGTAATATACCGCTTTATCGGGAAATAAGAATGTTGTTTCATTTATTAACTCACCTGTACATTTGTCACATTTTCCAATATATAAAGACATTTCGATGGTCCCTAAGTAGAGTATCGAAAGTGAAATGAGGTACTTTACAGGAGAACTGTTTAAAGTTAATTTTTTGTATAATTTTGTCATCTATACTTACAGGTTGATAAAACTTAGACATTACATTTATGTTGGATTTATCCACCATCAGGTACCGAGATTAAAAAATAATTTTAGACAGTTTTCCAGAAAAGTTAGTTTCCATAGTATACTTAGTAAGTAGAAAACCTCCATAAATCGAAACTACCACTTTCGATTATTTACATGGAACCGTATACAAAAATAATTATTGTATCTGCCTATTTCGATACTTTACCATTGGTTTACGTAAAAATATTTTATCGAAACTACCCAATTCAATGATATACCGAGTTAAATATTTATAGTTAAGATATTTTTTAATGAAGTAATGATAAAATCATTAACTCAAAACATCTTTATTAAGGTAGATATAGTAAGAAGTCTTATTACAGATGATACATAAATTAATCCCTAACCTAAACGTGGCTCCTGGTAATAAGAATCAGCCTTACTTAATCTTTTAAAATAATATTCTTTTAAATGGATTCTTATAATGAGATCACAATAACAATCACATGTTTAAATTATAAAATAAAATATAAGGCAAAAATCTCTTCTTATAGTAAAAGTAAACTTAAAATAGGGGCCTTTATTATTAAAAACAATCCACGAAAAAATAAACGCGAACCTATTTTATAAGTATTTTATGTAACGCAAACATTCTACTTATATTAAGATTGCTATCTAAATAAAGTTTACTGCTATCTTTCCGTGTCTAATGAGACTCTATAGGTTGGAAAGACACCACATGATTACAGACACTTTTAATCATTTCAGAGTCTACAACAGTAGGATGGTTAGCATGTTTACCCCTATTATCTGTTAAGGCAATCCCTTCTTGATTTAGTTTACTATGTGCTGTACGAAAAAATTGGTCAGTGATAGAAAATGTATTCAAAAACATCTTCATACAAACTTGTTCTGGTTTAAATGTGTTATCTTTCGGTGCTGGTAAAAAATACTTAGTTGTAAATTGTCTTCTTGATGGTCCATCCGTTGCATTCGTTTTTTTTAAATTTTCTCAGTAAACCTATTTATAAACTCCCATTGCTTCGTATGATCAGCAAGTTGCCAACAATTACTATGAATGTTTTGGCGAATATCTGTAGCAAATTTGTCAGAACATTTCAATTTACATGAAGTTGAACAAGCGGGGCGCAATTCTTTTTTATTTTTAATTTTTCCACCTCGAGATACATATTACTGACTTGAATTAAGTAAGCTTTTCCTTTTATTATCGATCCAATTTTCTGGACACTTTAATCTTTGTTTTACCGGGGTTAGTTTTAAAAGATGATTTACTTGGATGTACTTGGAGAGTCACATTCTGATAAGGTTATACATGTGTTAACACTTGGTAAAGATGATCCAGATACCTATTCGAGAGCTCCTCCACCTAACTTTTCAGAAATGTCAGTTAATTGTGCTTTATTTTGATTATTAGAATTTATAACGGTAACTTTCAAATCCGAGGGTTGTACAGGTGAACTAAAGTCTAAATTAGTAGTAGGTATCGGAGTTGTTTCTCTACTATACATGATGATAGAACTGGTATCACTATCTTCAATAATAACCGACTTTTTATTACATACTCTTACTGAAGGAATGTAAAAACTATGCAGCTCTTCCTGAGCTAGATTCCTGACCGAAGATAGTTCATCATCAACTAATTTTTCTAAAATATTCCAATCCGAATCGTTAAAGGTGCAGTTTGTAGGTAGTGGTGATTCTAAAATTGTTTTTAAATAAATAAGTTAAAATTCATAATGAATGTAACATTGGGTGAAATTCTTTCCTATCATAGTAATAGGTAGGTGGTAGAGCCTAGCTGTGGTCATGTCACTGCAGCACGAAAATGGGCTGGCTCAACCGGGGAAGTACCATCCTCTCACAGACGACCGGCGTGAAGTAGCCTTATTCGGCTGCGTTTCGTCTGATGAGTGAGAGAGCCGGTTGCCCTTTCCCCCTACCCTTTCCTACCTCTTCCTTTTTTACTCCCTTTCCCGCATTTTCCTTCCCCTCTTCCCTAATCAGGGCCGGTACATATGCACAAACTTTGTTGCGGATGTCTATGGGCGACGGTACTAACTCCATCGGATAGGCCGTCTGCTCGGTTGGCCCCTTTCGCATAAATAAAATAAATAATAATATTAATAAATAAATAAATAAATTAAGATTATTACATTTTTGTTAACATATTTTCATCGAAACTTTTCAAAAGATATTCAAAGATCCATCTTTAACTATCGAAATTACCACTTTCAATAATGATTTTTCAAAAAGCTAAATGACATTACCAAGTAAATTATTGAAAATGGCACATTCAATCCTCTTTCATATAAGTCACCCGTCATAAATAATCGAATCTACCGGATTCGATACCTTACTTCGGAGACCCGTTCAATATAAGCAAAACTAGAGATACGCTTATTAATTTAGTCTCAAAGAAGAAAAAAAAATAATTATAATATATTCTATATACACCATTTATTTCCGTTACAGTTACATGTCACAAAAGATGAGAGTGACACATATATTTTAAGATTTACCGGCTTCAAAAATAACTGATTCTGTTCTCTCTGTCACTAATTCCACAATTCTTCTTGATCTTAATTACATTTTTAAGGGTAACCGATTCATCACAGGAGGATTTAAGTCTAAATTAACAAAATTAACACAAATAGAACCTATTGTACGATCGGTAGACTATCAAAACATTGAGCGCATCCACATTCCCGCTTACACTCGCGAAAGTGGCTGTTCCGTCCTTGTTACACACTGGTCAAAGCCGCGTAAACGCGCGAAAGTTATCTTTCGATGTTATACGCCACGTAAACTATATATTTTCGATTTTATACGTTTCGGTAAAGGGTATAAGCAATGTATTTTTAATATTTCTGAAAAAGCCATTGCAAAGATGTGTTAATTATGAGTCGAAAACAACAATAAAAAAAAATCGTCATTTTGCAGATTCAATACTTTACTTAGGGACCATCGATTTGAGAACTTCCCTTATATTTTGTTTTCATTCATAAAAATTATATAAAGTTACGAGTATTTTATCTTATTTGATTTTTTTAAGTATCTTAGAATTAAACTGTACAATGTTATTGTATTCATTTGATCAGCCTTAACAACAAAACTACAATTATTTTTTTTTTTTTCAATTCATTTAGTTATTGAAAGATGTTGCTACATTAAATATACTTATAACGGAAAATCTCCATAACTTTATTTTTTACACTTATGGTGGATTAAGTTACGAAGTATTTTTAATCGTATTAAAATGAAAGTGAAATAAAATTTTTATTGGAATTTCAGTTCAATTATGGACATTTTTATGACTTTTTTTATGTAACAGTAGTACATAGCACAACGAATTAACAATAGAAATTTTATAATAGAATTTAATATACATCATTATATATATATATATATATATATATATATATATATATATATATATATATATATATATATATATATATGCTGGTGAAGTGTTCAATAAATCTGAGTACGAGGAAATTTATTTATAAGTTTTTAAATCTTCGGGATTTAGTAAACAAAATTTCATTAACACTGATCAGATTATAAGGATTGGAAGTAAATTAAGGGAACTATTAGGTTGGGATTGAGGGGAAGAAAAGGGGATGAAGGGCTTTCACCACTCTAACTAATGAAACTTTGTTTAAATTAAAACGAGATGTAGAAGTTTATATATTAAGAGTCAAACAACTTAAAATTTTATTTCAAATTTAAAATAGACAAATCTTTTCTGTCAAATCAGCACCCGTCATCTACATTTCAAAAGTCAATGCAATTCGCTGGTCAGCATATGAATATGTAAAAATCGAGAGCTTAGGCTTGCATGATTCTGTGTTGCGGTTAAGCTATTGCCATGCTGGAAAATTCTGCCAGCAGAAATGCTGGCATTAGCTTGTTTACGACTAATCGCTAACAGCCGCAGATACGCTAACAATGTTTCATGACTATGTTGTCCACTTACGTGTAAAAGTTATTGTTTTACGAATGCTTATTTAGCTTTTAAATAGCTTTAGCTTTTTAATATCAGCGATTTAGCTTTTTAATATTAGAAATAAAATTTCACATACTTATTCATTTTTATTTTATACAAGTACACAAAGAATAATATAAATTTGTACAAAATAGTATCCAGTTTTTCTTATATATATATATATATTTATATGTAAATTAAAATTGATATTTTTTTTTAAATAACATTGAGGTTTGAAGTAAACCAAGTTACTTTAATATTTAAATGAGGTCATTCTTAAAAATATTTATATGCTTAATGAGTTGCGCCAGACAATTGTTATATGTAATGTCTAATGGAATGTATGTAT